CATTAAATAAATAGACCCCCGCTCATTATATTCGCGAGATCCGTCCCTTGGTGGAGGAGCGTCGTCTTGCCGGCGATGTGGACGCATGACATTCGAGTATTTGTAGTTGTTGTTGAATAAATAAAATAAATATATTCTAACTAATTCGATGGGTTGCAACTTGCAAGCAAATGGAGTAAGCGCTCGACTCGAATTTCATTTGGACTGAGTTACAAGGAATTCGTAGTTTGTTGATTTGTACCTGTTACACATTTTTATTAATTCTTTTCCATCGAGTAACATATTTTTATTAAAAACAAAAACATCTATTAATATTGAAAAGAATTGATACAATTCAATTGTATTATTAAAGGAATCGTCATATAGCCTGTAAACCAGTCGAGACGAGCTCGAGCTTAGGGTGCTCGAGCTTGTACTCAAGCCCTTAAATAAACGAGCCTGAAATCGAGCTCGAGCTCGTCTCGCTTACCACTCATAACCAGCCGAGTTCGAGCTGATCTCGAGCTTTAACGAGATTAATTATAGAAAATTAAATAAAAATTCTCTTTTCGATTCTCAACGAATCGTTTAATCAAGCGAGCTTTAAGTGAGCTCGAGCTCGGCTCGTTTATCAAACGAGACGAGCCGAGCAAAGAATTCTTTTTTATTTTAATAGTACCAATCGTGACCAATTAATTGCTTAACAAAATACTACATTACTATTATAAAAATTATTTACGCAGTTTGGGGCTCTTTATGCCATTAAAACTTTTAAGTTTTTTTTTTTTAAATAAAATTGCATTAAAAAATAATGTTCCCTTTATATATAATTACCAAATGTCTTGAGCTTGAGTGGATGGCAAGCACACTTCGATATCTTATGAGGCAAAATTTCATGTTTCATTATTTGGCTTGGATATATTTTAATTACTCCCAATCCAAAGATAATTAGTTCGAATTATCCATAAATATATTGATTACTTATGAACATTTTAGATAAATTAATTTCATTCTAATATCATTTTCTATTATAACCATTGAAATGTAAAAATATTTTAAAAGTTAATAACTTTTGTAGTTTTTATCAGTCTTAGATATATAATACATCAAACTAACCGTCGTTTGATAAACTTCGATTTCACATCCATATTGTTTGTTTAAAATATATAAATTATAATAAGCATAAAATTATTTATTAATATGAACTAGAAAATAAAAATACTTATTAATTTATTTATTTCTTTATGATACTTTTGTTGATTGACTGAGCGAGAATTACTTGAATACTCGATTAGTTGATTCACGAGAGGCGATTACTTGATTGCATGTTTCCAAACCTATTGGGTGTCTTCTTTCCATCTCGGGTCTTAGAGTAACTTGTTTCTTTTCTCTCTATTTTCCTTTTTATTGCAATTTGAGGTCTTGGTTGCAATAGAGTCCAAGTCTTGCTTGTTAAAGCTTTTATCTTGCTTTCGTTTTAGTTTAAAATTGTATTCTTTAACTTCATTCAAACCCCAAATTGCGAGTAGAGTGTTTAGAGATTTTTATTTTTTTTCAGTGTATTAGTCAATCGATTCTTGAATCCGTGTCTGAACAACCTTCCTCTAGAGACACGAATGTTTATAGTATTTTGTGGGGTAGATGGTAACCGAGCTACCCGACCTCGAGTCGTTCTCAAAGGAAGGCTATTCGGAGCTTAATTTGTCTACTACTCAATTGTCCAAAACACACAAAAAAAGAAAAATAAATACCTAAACATTCTAATAAATGAGTTCGAGATTGAATTAACACTAAGCAAGCGGATAATGACGAGCAATTGCAATTAACAAGAAAAAACGAGCGACTATCGAAATTAAACTAACGGAATATCTATGTCATCGACACAAAACGAAAAACAAATAATGAAGAGAAATATGCAAGCATTAAGCACTAGGAAATCAACCCAACCTTCTAACCCTAAGTGATTAAGCTCTAAATAGAGTCCAACCCTTAATCTTGATAGGCAAGCAATTAACCCCTAAAATACTCTTGCAAGCAATAAAAACGATCAAGTCAAAACATTCCATCCATCATCCAACAATACCCATATTCACCTTGATATGCATCATAAGTAAAAACAAGGAAAAAATCGAAGTAATGAGCTTTAAAAGTAAATACCCAATTTTCTATTGCGTAGTAGATGAAAATTGGATTCAATAGTTCAGAACTTGGAAAAAAACGAAAAACCAGGAAAGTCGCCAGGAAATGATGACATAAATCTCCAAAGGGAGAAATAGAGAGCAAAATAATAAAACTTTTCCCAAAGTGGGAAAACAGAAAAATGAAAGATAGATCCCCAAATACAAAGCACTAAAGTTTATCTATACTAGTAGGCAAAACACACACATTAGAAAAACGCACATTATAAAAAACACTCGTGAGCTAGGTCGAACTCACGAGTTGGATCTCGATTTTCGCGGGCTAGTTTCGCTGGCAGCAAGTGGACTCGCGAGCATAAACCTTTTCGCGACTCGCGGGTGTGGGAACTCACAAGCAGGCAGGTGAAGGAACTCGCTGGCAAATGCCTTTTCACGGCTTGCGAGCGTTGAACTTGCGGGCGGATTGTAACTCGCAAGCTAGCATCTCGTGAGTTCAGTTTTCGCGGGTGCGGATCCAAGCCCCAACCCAAAAAATGTGCTCGCGGAAATGGACAGCTCCCGAATCCTTAATCCGCGGCTCGCAATTCTGGTGCTCTAATTCATCGCACACTTCTCCGATCGACTTGAAACTTCGACTCAATTTTATCAATTCTTTCCTCCTCGTCGTGGAGAGCACAAAAAAATTCCACCATACAACTTTCATGAATAAACACTCGGACGACACATCACAAAATGACTATTTCTTTCTTTCGGACCTACAAAAACACCAAAACACAAAAGAGAAATAGAAAATATATACAAACACGCAACGAAAACTAAAAACTACTAAAAGTAAATAAAGATGGACCGGGAAGACACAAAACGAACCTAAAAAGACTAGACTAAAGCAAATAAAACACAAGAAAAACACACTAAAACATAACAAACAACGACCCGAGGTCAGAATCTATTTCGTACTAGGTAAAATACTTCAAAGAAATAGCACTGGAAGCACGATGAAAAATTTTGGGTTGCGTCGCTCCATCTATTTGGTAACTTTTCCTCATGTGCCTCGATGAATTTAATCGCACTATCTCGTGCGTCCGACGGTCATTTGGAGCAGCAACTTTTCACTCCGCTCGGCGACTTCCTTTATCGATTGTACGCGATCATTCATGACCCTCTATCTGCCACTCACGGACCTCAACTTCTCCTCTATGGCATCAAGCCTTTCACAATTTTTTTTTATGCTCATGGACGCACTTCTTCTTCTTCTTCTTCTTCTTCTTCTTCTTCTTCTTCTTCTTCTTCTTTTTTTTTTGAATGCTTCGTGATCAGTTTTTCTCAATGAAAGCACCAATGATGAAGATCTAGTATCTAGACTTGTTTTGCTTAGACGCGTGCTAACATCCTTGCTTCTACACGATAATTTGTGAAAATACACATTAACGACCTTATTAATCACAAGATGTTTGTGAAACCCCACACTCTCGGACTTGGATAAACACAAGAGAATTTGTTGCTCAAGATGAGCAATTTTTTCTTATCTCATTGCCTGAATTTTGGATAAACACAAGAGAATTTGTTGCTCAAGATGAGCAATTTTTTCTTATCTCATTGCCTGAATTAATAATTGGAATCAACATGGCATGGGCATTTAAAGAAAACAAAGACTAAATCTATTTTTAATTTGTCTGAATTTCACTATATTTAATTGAATTTATTATTTGAATTCAATACTCATAATTCGAATTGCAATTTGAATTATAATAATATTTTGTGTGTGAAACATATATGAGTTAATTGTAGCATATTTGCTTCTATATATCTTTGCTATAGTGTACAAATATAATATAAGAATACCATATATTGTTAATTAATCACTAGTATTTATTTAAACTACAAAATGTTGTCTATCATCCTTGAAATTCCATTCGCTATATAAAAATTAAGTCAACTAAACAAATAATTTTATTTTTTAGAAATTGCAAGTCTGTGAGATCATGGGTTCTTGAAAAACAATATAGAACATTTGAACGAAGAACTAAATTGCACGTACGTCAATATGTATTTGTAAAATTCGAATTTAAAGGCAACTTTTGACTGAATAAGAATCAAAATATTACATCCATCAGAAAATACAGAAGACACAAAATAGCATATGTATTTGACGCGGCTTTGTTTGCAGCATCTAGCTAGCTAGTAAATATTAAATGATAATTAGCTATATATATGTGTAATGACTTTATTGCAAATTTGATCAATAGGTTGGCTTCGTGCATACGACACAAAATTATGTTGCACAGTTTAGTGTAGAAAGTGCGGGCTGAATGAGAATCCTGACGATTCGAAGCGAGGCTTCTTGCGTCATATGCAAACCATCCCAGAATATGTAATTGTTTGGATTGGAGCAAACAGGCACACCCCGACTCCCACAAAACCTTCTGCTATTGTAGTTGTATTTTCCTCCAATTCCACAACAAGCTTGCAGTGTTGTGTTTCTAAACGGGCATGTAGATTTCAAATAACATAACTAATAATAATTAGCTTACAAGAAAAATATTGAAACAATTAATTTAAGAGTGAAAATTAATGTAGAAACATGCGCTATGAATAATATAAAAAAGATAATTACTGGCCTGCCAATGTCTCGGTAATAA